TAATTATGTAATAAAAATTAAATGCGTTGATAATAAAAAAAAAAGGTAGTAACTGAAAATTATAGAAGACAAACACTTGGTAATATAAATGAATTTATTGAATTCCAATACACTGTATAGACGTAAAGAAATTGGAGATATATTAATTTTAAAATTTCTGTTTTTGGTCATAAGGTACGTCACTCGTCAGCTTTTGAGAAAAGTTTGTTCAGGACATCTTACTTCAAAACTTTTTTTTTATTTTACAATTTAATTTTTGTGTCGCCTGCAGAGCAGAGCGACACTTAGGGACACTTTACCTGGCGTCTGTCTGTCCGTCTGTCAAACCTTATATCTCCAGAACTATAAGAGGTATTGATTTGATATTTTGCACATAAATGTATATTGCTTGGCACTATGGCTTTTGTAAAATACCATGATTATCGACCTCGTGACTTTTGAACTTGACCTTTGACCTACTTTTCAAAACAATTCATAGTGTGGATATAAAGCATATTTTTGACATTTAAGAGGTAAGTCTATGCTATTTAGCGTGCACACTGTCATAAAGCATTATGAAAAATACCAGCGTTACAGTCCACTTGACTTTGACCGTTGACTTACTTTGCAAAACATACTCCGGACGGTTTAATCTAACTTAAGTCTTTTGAATTTTGAAAGGTACGGTTTTTATAATTAGCATTTTTACATGTTTAGGAGCTCATAACATTGCTTTTTGAAACTATATGATATGCAGTGAGTGATATTTAAATACTATGAAAATACATAGGGATCGGTATTCCACAATGGATCGTGTAAAATGACAAATGCATTGAAGAAAACTGAAATCTCCATTGGAGGATTGTAATAAAATGATGAATAATTATTTCTAATAATTTCACTTTCATTATTCATTTGAGGGTTGGGGAACCATATTTTTCTTTGGTTGTCATATTGTATTGCAGTCCTATACCATCCGTTGGATTTTTTTTTTTTTTTTTTTTTTTTTTTTTTTTTTTTTTTTTTTTGCAGGCAAATGCATGAACTGTAATATTATAGTAGCTAATAAATAACTGACCATGCGCTCATAGATTTATTGATATCTTTTATGAAGCTTCAAAGCAGGCGACACATGGGTTCCCTAGAACTCTCTAGTTATAACATATTTGAATTAAACAATGCATATTATACAATACTCACTTTAAAAAATTCTCTTTTCCTTGTGATGGAAGGGTATTTAGAAGAAAATTCTTTAAATCTACACAATTGTTAGATTTAATATCTAGGAAATTTAGCCCTGCATATTGTTACTCAGAGATTTTTTTTTCGTTATTTTATGCTAGGAATATTGGATATAGCTTTCCAGTAATAATTTTAGAACAAACTTAATACATTCACTCAACGACTTTGCCAAGAAACTGAGATGAATTGAAGAAGTCAAGACAAAATTATCACGGCCTTTTGCCTAAAATTGCATATTCTGACCAAGATCCTAAAATTTAAATCACTGGCCCCAAATTTTTCTTTCATTATTTTAAAGTATGGATTTGTTCAATGATAAATATTTTCCAAACTATTTTACGTAAAATAAGATTTTATTTATATCCATAATTGCACCTAGTAAAATATGATAAAGGTTAAAATGATTAACCAAAAAGTTACAATTTAAGTGCAAAAAGGCCAGCTAATTGCATAGCTGCTCAGTAAAATGAACAATTATTCCCATTTTTTTTCGATTTTGTGTCATGCTATTTAAGTAGTTATCAAAGATAGACTTCTCAATAATGCTTGATTTAATGCATGTCTGGAGTGACCTTCCTTAAAACAAATCACCTAAAAATAATCAAGGTGTACAAGCGGAAGGTCGAGAATTAACATGAGTTAAATTTCTGATAATTTTCATGAATTATCACTGAATGTGGTGAACTTATGTTAAAATGATATATATGTTTAGCAATCATATTCTCTTTAGCTATGATTTCAATTTTCTATATGCTAATTGATACAGATTGAGTTGTCTTCGGTAGATAACCTCATGCAAGGTTTTAAATTACTTGCGCCTTTTTAGTATGTTTTTGTAAGATTTAAACGGGAAAGAATTGTTTCTATACACATAGTAATTAAATACATTATAAATTTGAAAATCAATAGTTTGCCTTAAGTGCACTACTTTGACTTCCCCCTGCTCCGTTTCCGTATTTTAATTTAAATTGTGGGGAATTATTTGTCTTTTTGTGCATTGGTAATAATATAAAATTCATACAGTTAGAATTCAAAGAAAAAAGATGAAAGTATGTTTTCAAATTTCTTTTTGTCTCGAATAATAAAACATTAAGAATATACAATCAAACCTCTTTATCTCGAACTCGATTGGACTGAGCAAAAACTTCGAAATATCCAAGGGTTCGAGATATTGATGGTAAGATATTTAGAGTATTAAGTGCTTAGGACTTCCAAATCACTTCGATACATCCATGGTCTTCGAGTTATCCTTGTCCGAGATACTGAAGTTATACTGTATATACTAATTCAAATAAATGCAATTATTTGAAAGTTCTAAAATAAATGTACGAAGGTTGTCCGGTAGAATCGTGGACATCGCTTTTTTATCGGAAAAAAAATACACAAATTGAGCTGAAATTATCATATTTAAGAACGTTTTAATGTTTTTCATTTATTGTAGGCAAAAATATGGATTGTATGATACTTCAATATGTACAGGATATGGTCCTTCGGCTCACGACCAAAAATTCAGGGTTATATCAGGGAATAATCGAGTGTTATTTCGAAATAAATGTTTTTATTAGATAAGGTCGGGGTAAAAATTATCATATTTTTAATACCTTGTCTATTAGGTCGTAATTTGGAAAATTTCAAAGAATTTGTCTATTTTTTTTTATTTTTTTTTTTTATTATTATTATTTTTTTTTGCAGTTTTTCCAAGACTATGAAATGGGAAAGTGGTAAACGCAACATACAAAAAATGATGACGTTAGGGCGCACTGGCGAGCAGTTAGTTATATGTTGATTGAGTAATGACCCCTTAAGAGACTTTAAATGATAACAGAATATACAAAATATTTAAGTACAATAATACGTTAGAGAACAATTGGAATGTGCGTATTTTTTTTAAAACGGGAGCTTTTTGATCGAGTATCCCGATAGAACAAAACATACTGATAATCAGTTATTGGCAATAACGAAAGACGTTATCAGCAGACCGCCGAAAAACAACTGTACATTAATTTCAGTGAAAGTGAGAGTACCTCCCATTATTTACTTGTAAAATTTAATATAGGCTGCTTTCATTTATATCTCTTACAAATGATGGTAGAGTTTGGTGATTCTTTTCTGCTCTATGACCCTTTTGCCTACTATCTGCCTGACACAACAATGAAATTTAATGACGTCACATTGCACCTATGTGCTTCGGTTCGGAGATACCGCTATGTCCAGAATTTGTTTTTAAAATTATATTTTACGTAGGCAGTTTATAAGATAAAACAAGCTTGGTTAAATTCCAATAAGAACCCTCTTACAGCTGTAGATATCTATATCTCGTCCCTATATAGTTGTACACGTTTGCCTTCTTAGAAGAAAAATATGTCTCAAAATTTTGTTTAAAGAAAGGTATGAAAATTTTGGATCATGTTTTAAAGACAGGTATAAATCTTAACATTCACATTCAATCCAAAATGGATTCAATCATTACTGTAGAATCGCTTTTTCTTAGGGTTTCATTTTTCTATTTCTTTAATAACTTGTACCAAAGATCTTACAAGCAAAATGAATATTGAGATTATGTCTTAGAAAATGAAATGTTTGGACAAGAAATAACCCTCATCACACGATCATTTGTCACAATGATCTTAGATTATTGAGTTTGATATAAAAACTTGAGCTTTTTAATCTACCATTTAACTATCGTTGGAATGCATTAATGACTGGTGTAATTTACGCGGGTATGTTAAGGAAGCATATAAGTCAATTCTCTGGAAATTTAGACTTTTTAAAGAAAATTAAGTTTGATAATTTACCAAAACCGCTGATAAATGTAAACTATTATTATCTATTGCATAGAGATAAAAGAGTGTCTAACGCAAAGACGTGCACCACCACCACGGCATCACGTGACTTCTATTAATAGCAAAATTTTCCTTAGTAAAAATGCTAACAGAACAACAATACCCCGAAGTGTAATAATTTCTTTGAGTAAATAATATATTTGGAAAACATCTATTTTGCCTAAAAAGTGCTGCTAGAATCCCACTGTCCCGTCAGTCAAATAATAATTCCACACATTCGCACGAAACCTTACCCGATGTTTTGAATTTTATACATATAAACCGAGATTTTTCGTAAAACCATGCTTAACTCGGGATTCTAGCAGCACTTTCCAAGTATTTTAGGAGGAAAACTTTCCATCTGTACAAATCATATGTTTTGAAATATACAGCTTATTGTTGTTCTGCTGCATTATTTTTGTCACAAATGACAGAGGAAAGGCCGACCGGGATACGTATATAGCTGACTGTCTTCGAAGAGAATACAATCGATGAAATTAAATTAGCATACCTGTTTTAGTAACTGAACTCCATATGAATTTCACAAAATATTCAGAATATTTGCTTTTAAACTCCATTTTACGTATCTTTGTACATGCCGTCTTAGCCAAATTCTCTTTACACGACATGATCAATTCCCAAGTTACTTGAAGTACACATATGACGTCATCGGTGGTAGATTTTAATCAAAATGACAGATACAGCATAACATAACATAACAGCATTTTTTTGTTAATGTTTACACGTTTCTATGCATTTTCTAGAGTTAAATTACATCTCTAAATACGAATATTAAGAAAACTTGCATTCTAAAATTGACGTCATCTCGCCTACTATGACGTCATAATGTAGCACTGATTAAGTCAAGGTAGAATATTTTGTATGCTTCCTTATTACCCCTGCGTATAATCTTTTATAAATTTACTAACAGATAACCTGTCCAAGTTTGCATATGCAATGCAAAGCAGTAAGAATGATCAAATGGATTCTTCTCCCACAAGAGCAACTGACATGGATATCAATACATGTTCTTCCACAAACAGAGACAATCCTGCTTGGTGGTATGTTGATCTGCAAAATGTGAAAAGCATTCACGACGTTCAAATTTACTTTGACAGAATAAGTGGTACATACGGTAAGTTTATAATTAATGACTAAATAGAATTATATATAACAATGAAATTTTTTAATTAATTGTGTCAATAGAATAAATTCAATACAGAAGTCAAATGAAACCGATTTATTGAATTATATTGAGAGCAATTATTCTATGTATTGTGTTAATGTTTTATAGAACAACAACAGAGACAGCGTATGTATGGTTTCCATCTGTTCATCACAAATACGACTGAAATAGACAGTTTGAAGGATGGACATCTATGCTACAATCATAGTGGTCCTGATTTACCGGACTTAACCTCCACACATGTCTGTGTCACATTCGGTCGCTATGTATTCTATTACAACGAGAGACTTCCTGACGTGACATACCCAGATGGATCTAATTCTACACGTGTTCAGCTTTGTGAGGTTATAGTACATGGTAAGTGTTTAGTGCACAAGTGCCCACAAAACTACTATTTCTTTTTTATGTAACAATGTGTCTCGGCTTTCATATTTGTACTTTACCTATTTCCATTGTACCTTCAAAATGAAAGAGAATTCCAAGATCTAGACAGCACTGTGAAAATGAAATATGCTTACTTTGCCATCATTTGAAATATATAACCTTATAAATTATGAGTTATATGTCTTATTTGATGTTATAGTGTTGACGATAAATACTACTTACGCATCTTTCATCGAATGTTTCCACAGATCTAAATGATCATTTCATGCCCATTTTCAATGAAAATTGTTGATAAATTTCAAATATATATATTGCAGATAAAATCACATTTCCCCCAAATGAATACCTTGTACTTTTTTTCATAAATTTGCATAGCAATTCATAATTTGAAGAAAATATTCCTAACTACTGATTTCGTCGCCCGCAGGGCGCAGTAGTTAGAGCGTTTGCTCTAGAGTCGGGGAGTAAGGAGTTGATGCTTATATCGCAGTTTCGAATCTCACTGCGAAACGCGGATACCGGTCTTTCGGATTAGACCGTATAAACCGAGGTCATGTGTCGCAGTAGGTGCTGGCATGAAAAAAGATCCCTCAATGCTCATAGGTCGTAAGTGCCGAGTGCAAGTCAAAATTTCCAGCTCTCTACCAGCGGGTTGTGGCGTATCAATATGACTGAAAATTTCTCGAAGGGACGTTAAACAAAGACATAAATACTAATTTTCAATAGTCATTTTATGAAATATGTAAAAGATTATACATTGCAAAGGCTGTGAAACTAATGGAGTGTATGGACCAAACTGTTTCAATAAATGTCCAGCAAATTGTCAAGAACACAGATGTTATATAACAAATGGAACATGTGTAGGATGTACTAAAGGTTGGAATGGAGACGAATGTAAAACACGTAAGTCAACATATGTTTAGTGGAATGTCTTTTCAAATCGACTTAATTCTAGATGTCAGCAGATATGCATATGAAGTAGCAAAAACTTGAAGTATTATTTATTTTCTGAAGTCCTTTTTTTTGGTTCTGTATAGACAATTTTAAAGCTGTTTACGGTTGTTTGTACTGTAAGTAACCCCTTTTAAAATGAATTTCTGTTTTACTTGCCGAAACACATTTATCTTCCATTAGTCTTCATATAGCAACAATATTTTGCACAAACCTAAAAAAAAAAACCTTTAGATAATTCATATCTGTTAGCAAGCACAGTGCCCATTTTTAATTTTAAAACGTTTTGCAAGCAAAATTTTATGAAAAGGATCTGCTACAATGTAGTTGAATTTTATATTCCAATTATATAACAATTCTATTGTTTCCTTTCTAACACTCAAAGTGCTAATAAATACTTTCTTCTAATATAAAATAAATGATTTCAAAAATTTTTTCCAGTCCTGAAAATTAAAATAAAACTCTAGAAAACTAATTTAAAATCCACCATTACTCATTAAATGAGAGGCGTTCAAAAATATAGAAAATATTCATGATTAGTTTATTTTCGGATGTCAAATTTCATAAAAATTTATAAGAAATATTTAATTAAAAACTCGATATTCATATTTTAAAGGATCATTGTATCATGCTCAACATTAATCTTCTACAAGGGTATTTTTGTCTAATTGATCTTACATCTTAAATACGCTGTATATAAGACAGGAAAAAGGAATAATGATATCAATTGCAAATGTTCTCCATTATAAGAGCACATTGAATCTTAAAACAAAAATACAATTAATTCAACATCCATGTAAAAATTATTCTACTTCTCTTTTGAAAGGAATATAAAATTTATGAATTTTCCATCATGTCATCTCAAATTTGTAGTGACGACGTCATTTGCTATTAATGCGTCATATCTAGGTAGTTCAGAGAAGTTCCACCAGATATGCTCCGCGATATTTTACGGACAGCCATATCCTAGCTGCGTTCTTAAAAGCAGAATAATCATATCGATTCCAAGTTTATAGATTAATGTGAATATTTATTTTACTACCTTGTTAAATTTAACCTGACATATCTTATCATTCAATGAATGTCAACAATAATTTCTCTATTGCTAAATTTTAGCGTGTATTGAAGGATATTTTGGCTTGGCATGTAAGGATAAATGTTCAGGCAACTGTTTTAACAACACAACTTGTAATCACACAACAGGGTTTTGTGACAGCGGTTGTTCTGAAGGCTGGGCAGAGTACTTTTGTAATATAAGTAAGTTTATCTTTGCAAGATTCCATTCAATTTAATTTCATAATATTATTAGAATATACAGTAAAGTAATCATTATTTTCGTATGAAATTTAGAAATATTTATTTTCTGAAACAACGAATTCAACACTTAGACCATGAGATACGTGCGACTTTCTCGTCACAAGCGTGTAAAAACGTGTTGGATCCATTCGGAAGTCATCTCATATTAAATATTGCTCTTGATCGGCCAAGATGTCTTAAAGTGTTGACTGTTACCAGCATTATTCTGGTTTATCATACCGATGGTATTTTAATAAATCTTTGGGAACATCCATAATTTGAAACATATCATATAGTGTTAGTACATGTATGTTAATTTGCTGTTTTTCTCTTTCTAAATATAACAAATGTAATGATATCCAAAGCAAATTTAAGGACATTAATTTAATACCTTTAGGTACACTGCATGTTTAGAAATCTTAGTTCTTTACTATTTTTCTTTCATAAGAAATCAATATTAAAAATAACTTTTCACATTACAAAAAAATTAAGAAAGACTACACTCTTGACTGTGTGAGAAATTATTATCAGTTTACAAGTTTGGCTTTCCAGAAAGCCTGAAATGTCATCTCTCTGGCTTCATTGATGTCATAAAAGTGGAACATTTTTTCTCAGCTATACAGGCAGTAAGATCGTTTTGAAAGTGGAAGGAGGGGGAGGAGTAGTCATAAAACTAGATGTGTCGATAATGTTACGAATGCCCTTGCAAACAGCCAAAATTTCAAATGCAATATTAAGTTTTAAATTTGTATACTTACTTGAACCGTATTTTCTGGTCAAATACCTGCATATGCAATTTCAACCTTATACATAGATCCCTAATAACGTTAGAGATCGGAAACTGAAAATTTCTTATTTTTTCCGAAGTTCAAGAGGGGTAACTGTCAAAAATCATCGGACCAAACCAAATTCGATCTTTACCTGTATTTTCGGCTAATATTTCTGCATATCCATTTCAACCTTATACATACATCCCTACAAAAGTTAGAGAACGGAAACTGAAAATTTCATATTTTTTCCTAAGTTCAAGAGGGTTATTTCTGTCAAAAATCATTGGACCAGACCAAATTCGAGCTTGACCTGTATTTTTTGGTCTAATACCTGCATATGCAGTTTCAACCTTATAAATACATCCCTACAAAAGTAAGAGAGCCGAAACTGAAAATTTCTTATTTTTTCCTAAGTTCAAGGTCTTCCAATTATCTGTTGGAATCCAGATGGACACCAATTGTGCTCGTTTATTAGCCAACCTGTTTTTTTATATTTACCCTCTAGATGACGAAGTTTCTCAGAAAAGTCTTCCAATCAATGTCCAGAAGAATACGTTAAGAACCTAAAATGCATTTTTTCCAAGGCAAATCTTGTCCTACCATTCATTACTCTTAGATTTTAGTAAAGGGCTTTTTGATCATTATTTTAATGCAAACATTTACATACGAGATGACAAAGAGTAACAACGAAAGTATAAAAAAAAATATCATTCATTTTCAATACCTGATTAAACATGTTCAATCCTGGTTCTCTTTGCCTAGAAGTAGTACATTTTAAACCTGAATGACTCAGGCAACTCAATCAAGCAAAACCATCAATGTTAATACTTTCTGATGTTTTCTTCAGCATGCCCCAAAGGGACATATGGAAGAAATTGTTACCAAAACTGTAGTGGTAACTGTCTTAATGAGACATCATGCAACAGGGTTACTGGGTTTTGTGATGAAGGCTGTTTAGTTGGATATCGTAACGAAAAATGTGATCAAGGTAAAATCGTATGTTTTAACGCCCAAAAATATTTGATAAAATAAACAAGAAAATAAAACAGCAAAATTCAATAATTGGCACAAAAAACTATTAACATAATTCACATGATGCATTTTTCTTTAGAATGCCCTAATGGCACCTATGGTATAGACTGTATGAAAAACTGCAGTGGTAACTGTATCAATAATGAGACGTGTAGCAAAGTTGATGGAGGGTGCGCAAATGGTTGTGCAACAGGCTTTCAGGGATATTTTTGCAGTAAAAGTTTAGTAAAAGTTTCAGTTTCTTTCTGTCTCTATTCGGGAACTGGTTTCTTCCTTTCAAAAATATTTAATGGCATATATATATATATATATATATATATATATATATATATATATATATATATATATATATATATATATATATATATATATGCACTCGTATTACACTAAAACATTTTTTTTAAAAAGGGCAACTTTATTTCATTGTTAGAATCCAAATATATGTTTTAATCAAGTCTTTATTGTTTTAGACTTTTTTTCAGCTTGCACCAAAGGAACATATGGAGGAAATTGTTCTCAGAACTGTAGTGGTAATTGTCTAAATGGAACTTATTGCAACTGGTTTACTGGGTTTTGTGATGAAGGCTGTTTAATTGGGTATCGCAGCAAAAAATGTGATCAAGGTGATTTTTTTTCTCATATCCTATCGGCATCCAAGCACTTCCAGCGTTACAAGGCCGTAACGATATAAAACATAGCACAATGTAAGAACAAATGAAATTTTTTTCATTCCACTATACACTGGACGAAATTGCTAATGAACCAAAAAGAAAATTAATATTTTACTTTTCTGAACTTATGATGTGTTTGATATATAAATATGTAACCAAAGTAAAAATGAAATATTTCAATCTCTTAAGGCATTTTCATCCTTACAAATGAATAGGATCAAAGTAGAACAACTGCATATAGTTTTACTGAATTTGGTTTAGATTAACAAATAATCGCGTAAAAATATAGAATCCCATATTTTGTTAAGATGTAAGACATATATAAACAGAAGCATATGTCAGCATTAAAAATTGTAGATTTTTAGTAAACAGTATTATATATAAATATTAGGCATATACTGGTGACCGTATGAAACATATACATGTTTCGTATGGAGAGTACATGACAAAGTAAGGTTTTTTTATAAGTTATGTACCTATAATTCTGTTGACAATGCCTGCGACCTTATAGTCCTGTGGCCAATTATTGGGTTAAGTAGATCCACGTTTTGTTTTATCGGCTAATTGTATTCGGCGAGTCGGCGCGCTCGCGCAACAGATTTTGTTTATAAAATAAATTATCGCTTATACAATTTTGTTAGCATCAGGCTCGATGTCATAAATAAAAAGAGAAAGTTTCATAGATGGAATTATGTTTCTGAAGCTTCAACATCATTATTTAACTGCCTGTGGTTTCTTTTATTCATGGCCACTAATTAATACACTGGTTTTTATCAATTTTCATTGGCATCAATTTTCGTGCAATCAGCGAATGTTTCAGTATTTTGTGAACACATGTCATCATAAAACTTTTTGATATGCTTCTTACTTAAATGACCATCAAATTCTATTTTAATTTTCACTCTGCAAAACACAAAGCCACAAAAATTAATGTTTAAGGAATGTTGATGGAACCATTGTACATGTATTTTATATGATTAGATTTTTAATGAGATCAGTGGTTGAGAAGACTACAATATGAGGAGGCAGGATTTATGTATACTGGCACATGATCTGTAGTTCAAATGATCTGTTTACGTTTATAGGCTAGCCATTTCTGTAACTAAAGTTACTTCCCCCTCCTCAAATAAAGACGAGTTAATTTTTAGTAGTAGTATTATTTCAATACACAACAAGGAATCTTTGTCAAACATTGATACCTATGTATGGCAGCTTATTGCAATGATAATTAGGTCTCTAAAGAGGAGATTAAACTCTAGAATCTAGGGTCATTACGTAATACCGGTAAATTTTTGTTATACATCAAGAAAATTTATAAAAAAAAAAAAAAAACCAAAGCACTAACTGAATATTTTTAAATGCTATAGTTAATGTTTGGAGAAATATATTTATATATATATATAGAGAAAGAGAGAGAAAGAGAGAGAGAAATCGAAAGTAGGCCAACTCAAAAAATTGGGGTAAATTTCGGATAACTCTATCACAAATTGTTGTGAGGCATGCATGGATCAAAAGGGGTCCGGAACCCTGGAAATTTCAAATTCATTTAAACTGACATAGCAAAATTACTAAAGTTATGCCTCGAACCTCTTCCCCTTGAGATTTGAGCCAACACCTCCAAGGGAAAAATTTCTGGATCCACCCAACAAAAATTACAATCGGGCTCGGGCTGTCGACTTGAATATAACAATAATGCTTAAATTATAAAGAAAATCGATGTCATTTGAGTGTTTTAATGCAGGGAGAAAAATCTTTTGTGATATTGAGATGAGATGGACGCGCTGGCGCGCCGACGCGCCGAATACAATTAGCCGTTTTATCGATTCCTTTCCAAATCGATACCGCTTCCGAATTTCCTTGTCACTCATGTTTTGTACAGAAAAGCGTTCTCTAAAAACCCTGTCCGCTCTTCTTCTACCCAACTTACCAAACATTACGTTGGCCGTCATTGTCAATGAGCGTTTAAAGAAGCCCTCTTGGCTTCATTAAAATTAGAGAAGTTAATGAAGCTTTAATGCACCGATTCTTTCATAGAAGCATTGATACAACGGAATTTAATGACACATTAAAATGATCAGTTTAATGAAGCTTTAATTATTCATTAAATATTAATACAACCGGATCTTGGAAATATGTATCCGTTTTAATACGCTGAGACTGTCCCTCGCTGATGTAACCCCGGTCTACTATGTAACTTAAGTCGAAAGGAAAAAGAAAATTAATACACGTAATCATTTAAACTAATAATTACAACTCTAAAGCGCAGTAATATGTGCATTTAATGATAATTAATTTCAAGCACTTTTATTCTGTTAGAATGTCCCTATGGCACCTATGGTATAGACTGTATGAAAAACTGTAGTGGTAACTGTGTCAATAACGAGACGTGTAGCAAAGATGATGGAGGGTGCGTAAATGGGTGTTCAACAGGCTTCCAGGGATTTCTATGCAGTGAAAGTTCGTTGAAAGCTTCATTGAGATTAAACCTCTATTTACGAACTGGTTTCTTCCTTTGTATCAATTTTCGTAATTGCATGCAATTAATTACACTGTCAAATATCTAGAAGACAACTTCTGAAGGTGTAACACTTTTGCAATAGGAACTTTTTCCTTCCATATCTCTCAGTTGATTCGATACGCAAGAGCATGCTCTACATATGTACAATTTCTAAAACGAGGTAAATTACTGACAAATAAGTTGATGAAACAAGAATATCAGCTGTCTCGTTTAAAGTCATCATTTCGTAAGTTCTATGGTCGATACAATGACCTTGTCAGCAAATACAATTTATCATTGAGTCAAATGCTGACTGACGTTTTTCACACTATTTGTTAGACCATTATTTACACATTGAATTGTCCACGGATTTTTCCGTTATTTCCCGATCATGACAAGGAGCACACGGCGGGTGTGACCGGTCAGCAGGGGATGCTCACTCCTCCATGGCACCTGATCCCACCTCTGATGTTTGGAGGTCCGTGTTTGCTCTGCTCCTATTTTGTATTGATTAATGGACTTTTGAGCTTGAATACTGTTCGTTATCTCCATATATTTCACTATATATCCACTTGATTTTTTGTAAGGTTTAACAGTTATATATTTTAGAAATATCACATACCCGCTAGATCCTAAGGGGTCAGAATTGCAATGTTAAACTAAATCAATCAATCCAGTGATTAATTGCATTCCGTCCTTACAGAATAACATAAATGATTTTAGTGACTCAGTTAACTATAATCATTCATATTATGTTCCGTGGATATTTTTCAGCGTGTTCTGCTGGGACATATGGAAGAAACTGTTCCCAAACCTGTAGTGGTAATTGTCTAAATGGAACTTCTTGCAACAGATTTACTGGGTTTTGTGATGAAGGCTGTTTACTAGGATATCGTAACGAAAAATGTAATCAAGGTGAAATTCATTGTTTTCTTCAACAAGAAAAAATAAGAATTTAAAGTACATTTATTCTACAAGATGTAAATGCAAAGTTTAATAATGTATCAATAGGAGGTAGAAATAATTAATATATATATTTTTTTCTATTAGAATGCCCTAATGGTACATTTGGTATAGACTGTATGAAAAACTGCAGTGGTAACTGTATCAATAACGACATGTGTAGCAAAGTTGATGGAGGGTGCGCAAATGGTTGTGCAACAGGCTTTCAGGGATATCTCTGCAGTGAACGTTGGTTGAAAGTTTTGTTGAGATTTGTTTTCTTTACTAACAAATTGTTTCTTTCTTTTATGGCAAATTCGTAATTGAATGTGCATACAATTTGAATACAAATATAAATTCAAATTTTCATTTTCATAAACATTATTTTGGGGTCTTTCTATCCTGAATATTTTATTTTACAAGTTATATTAAAGTTTTACAGCAAATCATCAAAAGGAAGTTATAAAAGCATTCTTTCAATTCTTTGATTCAAAGTCTCAAGTATTTGTTAAGGAAAAATAGAAAAATTACTTTTCTGCATCAAAGGATTTCAAATTGAAATTTGATAAATGTTATTTATATAAACCAGTATATATAGCCTTGGACATTCAAAAAACTTGAAAAACAAACCTTATTTATATTTTGTCTTTCAAATTAAGCGGTTTACAAATGAATTCTGCTTTTCGAGAAAAAAGAAATTCAAATTGGAAATAATTTGAAAATCCATGAAATAATAATAATGAAAAAGAATTTTTATCATTTTGAGCTTGAATGTATTTTCGTAGTTTGCAAAAATGAAACATATGGGACTAATTGTACTACACGATGCAGTCCTTATTGTGCAAATCATCCCTGTAATCATATAACTGGATCCTGTTTTGGTGGCTGTTTACCTGGCTGGCAGAATGACAAATGTGATAAAGGTAATAATGCTTTAATCCGACAACCATTTACGAGGGTTGATCCAAAGGTTCGTGGAATTTCATTATATTTTATTTAATTTTTAATGGAAGTGATAGAAAATTACAGATTAAAATATATACGCTTGTTGAATTTTTTTTTATTAAAAAAAAATATATTTAAAATTCATAATAGTAACACTTTCACAGTTGTCATAGAAACGGACGTTTAAAATTGCGAGGGATCCATTTAATTGTTTCTTTTTCATTTCAATTCTTCAAACTCACTTTAAAAAAAAGCTGTGTCATATAGAACGAAAGTTATGTCATAATTACGATTGGTTGAACTCTTCTAAAACATTTGTGTGAAAGTTTCACCGATTTTACTGGATATTTCGTTTTTCTATTAATGATTTGTTGACCATCATGACACGGTTAGACAACGTCGAAATTCGATCAGTTAATACGTTTTGTGAAAATCTCGGGAAACATCCTTACTCAGACGCATATACTAATGACACAGGCAGAACAAAGGTGAAGTAAGCAACTGGTTTTCAAGTGGCTTGAGACCTTTCATGAAAATAGAGCTCTGATGATGATGAGAGGTACCGTTG